TTGCTTTAAATTGGCTTAATGTATGTTAAAGGAAAAAAAAGGGGGACAGTGACCCACATGTTCATCAGACTCAAGGGGAAGCAAGTGCAGGGTGTCAGACAAAGGGTCAATCCAAAATCTCATATGGTCTCTTCTTTGCAGCCAATCAGCGAGTAAATGGTTACTGAAATTGGTGCACCTATTGGTTTGGGAGAGAACAGCAACAATTGTTCTATAGTCTTGATCTCTTTGACCTCTCTGTAATTGCTGCTGTGAAAGTTACAGCGGTTCTGTGCAATGCTGGGATATATGCTGGCAAATGTAACCTTCCAGTTGACTTGCCACATCGCTTCCAAAAATATTGGAAATAAATTCATTATGGATCATTGCAAATACTTTGCTTTATAAATACCAAATAGTCATGCAGTGAGGAAAAAAAATCCTTTGGTGTATATAGATTGCGAGAACAATTACAAGTTGAGGATATGTGGAAAGGTTTTTAATTCTAATTCAGTAGAGTCCGTCTGTCCTTTTTAGCAGGTGCAGCCCTGTTTCAAAATCGGTTTCTTTACTTGAACTCAAAATTTTGCAAATTAGTATAGTATAAGTATATAAGTATAAAGTATATTAAAGTAACAGCAAAATGTTTACGTGCAATTATCATCACATATTTGTTAACAAGCAATAACTTTTCTGTATGCACATGGGCTTTGTGGTCAAGTCAGCCATAATGAATATATGCTACATCCAACAGCGTGTGTCCAGAAATGACACTAGAGGTGTACCTCCAGCGTCATATTTTAAAGTGGAGGACCACTGACCAAGCAGCAGTATTTGATGATTTGGGAGCATGGATGTGAGAATTGGATACAGCTTTAGAGGCGGGGCTCTGTTCATTCCCATGAAAGCTACTTAGTGGCTCATTAGTGGCGCTAGACTTACGGGTATAAAATTACATGGATCTCTGAATAGCTTCTGCATTGTTCATTTACTGAATAAATTAAGATATTAGATGGTTTTTTTAAAAAGTGACAATTCTTATCCAGACATCGGGAATGAACCACATGGCATACTGTTTAGTAATTTACATTATTACAAATAAGAATGTGGTTTTCTTACTTCTGGGACAAAACCCAGAAGTTCTGGTTTCACTTTGGCTCTCTGTTTTGTTCCTTAAAATGTCCAGTGTTTGTTGTAAACTTTGAAGTAATTTAGTTATTGAATACTAGTGTTTGAATTCATTATATTTCTTTTTCTGAGAAAACGACTTATCCATCAAAATAATCAGAATATAAAAATATTTATCTCTCCTGATCAATAATAATTTAAAACATTAGGATGGCACATTTCGCCCATGCATTGTATGTATATTGAGTTTGTACTTGAACACATGTTGTCATTGAGTTGAGGCTGCTCTGGAAATTAATAAGTCGTAACAAGGCTGGTTCTTTGTGACTGAACAAAGTCATTTTAAGTTCAGTAGTGCAGTAAGAACAAAGGATGCCTTTGGGACAGAGTGCAATAGATGACAAACAGGCAACAGCACAAACATGATCAATCACACTGGTTGTTTCCTTTGTTTTTACACCTGCATACATGGGCTCAATAGCTCATCCTAAACTAATGATTGTATGCTGGTGCATGAATTGGTGAAGTCAAGCGTAGATGCTTTCTCCTTTTAAAAAAGGGATTCTTGTTCAAGTGCAGAGTTTCCACCTTAATTGGCTTGCATTGTGTTGATAATTGTGTCCTGGGGTATCAAACAAATAAATATCGACAGACTGAGTTTGGGGGACATGCCAACCTTTTCAGCTCTCCTCATATGTATGCACATCATGAACTTGGTTTTATGAGGAAAAACAAGCTTGAAAAATGACAATTTACTGTACATTTGAAGTGGGGTTGCACAATATGGTACAAAAAAATCACATTTATTTTGACAGATATTATGATTTGCGATATTAGTGGGAATGATCATTATTGCATCACAATTTTAAAAAACTATTAAAGTGATGCTGAGATATTTGCTGGGGTCTGAGGAACAACATTTGTAGGTAAAGGGGCATCTCTGCAGCAGTGTAGTACTTCATTATAATGCTGTTTTGTCACACATTTTACCATCAAAAATTGCAGCTTCTGTTATTTGGATATTGCGAATTCAATAATATTTCAATTAATTGTGCCGCCCTAATTTCACGATAAAGGCTACAGCTTGTCAACTGTGTTGCTCTCTACACTATAGAAATGGTAAGACATAGATTTGCAGAATGAAAACCCATTTAACTGGTATATCTTTTCAATCCAAGACTGATTATATGGAGAATGGCAGAATAAAGTATGTAAATGAAGTGTAGAAACAGAATAAGAGCCATGATTCACTGTCGGACCGAATGGTTTGAATCTGTACTGGAGGATAATGTTCACAGCGATATTCAGTGCTCATACAAATCTGTTGGCATTCTGCTGATGGCAGAAGCATCATTTCCCCTCTTGTTCATCAATGTCAAAATGAACACAAAAATGTACAGCACACCAAACGTAATAGGGCTGGAAGGCAGAGGCAGGCAAATAAATAAGGTTCATAGAGCAAGGCCATTTCCCTGGTGCAGCTGCCCACTGCTGAGGCTTCTATTCTGATCCTTATCCCCTCAGCCACTTCAGCCCTGCTCACTGTGTCATTTTCACCTGTTTGGATTCCTAACACAGCCAAATCAGTGCAGCGCTCTCTGGCCAGTAAATCTTAATTGGTACCACTGCCTTTCATAGGATAACTGGATAGATTTGACTAAATCTAGTGGGCGGATATACATGTACATGGTTTAATAATTCAAGAAAACTGTTTAACTGGTGCCTCAATATGACTTCATCACATCAAGTGCAGTATAATGAATTAGTCATGTGTGCATCAGAGTATATATACTTTTATTTTGATGTGTGTGAGGTAGATAGTCTATATGTATATGTATGTGTATATATATACATATATATATATATATATATGTATATGTATGTATATATACATATATATGTATATATATATATGTATATGTATGTATATATATATATATGTATACACACACACATATATATACATACATATATATATACATATATGTATATATATATATGTATATGTATGTATATATGTATGTATATATATATATATATGTATACACACACACACACACACACATATATATATATATATATATATATATATATATATATATATATATATATATGTATGTATGTATGTATGTATGTATATATATATATATATATATATATATATATATATATATATATATATATATATATATATATATGAACGCTCAAAGTCTGTCGGATTGGGCCGATTTTGTGTAGAAGGACCTCTGCATTAGTTTTGTGCCCCAATTGATTCGGCTATTAACATGTTCTGTATCTGGATATCCGATCTGCATAAGAAAAAGTGCATATTAAAGCGAGGTGTAAATGCACACAGAACAGATTGGGATCGTAATGTAACCGGATTAGCCAGACCACATTTGGAGTGTGGTTCGCATGATTCAGGTACTGTAGTTAAGTACGAATTTGAGGTACTTTACTTAAGTATTTTCTTTTCATGTCACTTTCTGCTTCTACTCCACAACATCTCAGAGGGAGATACTTTACTTTTTACTTTACTACATTTATCTGCCAGCTTTAGTTACTAGTTACTTTACAAATTAAGATTAAGATAGATAAACTACTACTTTAGTTTAGTACAGCTGACACAATTATTAGATTGACATTGAAAGTAACCGGCAACAAGTATTTTGTAAATATAATTTTTAAAAGCAGGTACTTTTGTACTTTGACTTTGAAATTTAAATTGAAAACTCCCATTTTGTGGAGAAATATTTAGCAAAGGTATTTGTGCTTTTACAGAATTTGTGTACTTTGTCGACAAGTGTTGCCATCCGTACAGTGTGACCACATTCTGAAGTAAGAAATCTGCCCAGGAAGTTAACAGGTCACCTAACTCCACTTCTTCATGCTAGATTATTACATTGTCCAGAAGTTTGCCAACGATGCCCAAGTAATTTGCTTGTCAAGATACAATCCCAGGAATGCAGATACGGAGAAAGCTTAATAATACCAAGTGTAAATGTGAAGGCCTGTGGTTCAGAGGTCATTATCCAAATAATGTATCCAGATACAGATCGCGTTATTACCAAGTGTAACTGGGGCCTTGGTTCGTCCACATGTGTGTGAGGACATTTCAATATTTGCATTACAAAAAATAACCTAAATGTACCTTTAAAAAATGAAATAAATGAAAACTTTTGCAACAGCCATATGTCTCCCGTGTTTGAGTATTTGCACACATGCATAGTGTAACCTGTGACTGTGAAGTAATACGACTTTCTATCAACAACACATACAGAAGTAACTATTGTGAGTGTTATTTGTGTGTGGCATTAAAATGTATGGCTGGAGTGCACACAGCTAATGAAATGTTACAGCAGTCACCAATTAGTACCTCTGTGTTCCAAAGACATTATTTCCCGGCACATTGAGCTCTTTCTAGTTCAGTTAACATTGCATGGGTAATTACTGTAATAAATACTCTGGTGTTAGCGTTGTCACTTAACCAAATTGAGGGAGGTTTGTTGACTCAGATATTTGGAGTGACGTTACCTACAGTAGATGAACATGAATTGCGCGGGGGTGTCATATTGTTTGTGTTAAGAGAACGTTTGGCCTCTGATAGCTTCAGTGAGATGAATTCATGTTGAAGCAGGCAACCACATGCTGGTTGACTTCAAAATAAGCCATCGACCCCTCTGATAGATGTCCTTGGCGTGGCCGTAGCTCATACAGAAGCTATCTGTGCCTGATTCATGGCATGTTTGAATGAGGCAGTTTCTTCACTGGCTGCTAGTAATGAATCAGTAGAGACGAAGTAGCAAGGAATTGGCAAAAAAAGGATATTCTTACTGGTACTATTAAAATGCAGTAATAACACACCATCCACAAGGTGGTGGTCTCTTTTTATTATAGACAAAGAACAATACAAAGTACAAAACAATCCATCAAACAGCAAGAGCAGAAGAACGCTACCTTGAGACAGCACCAAGCGTCGCCTCAGATGGAAATATCAGGTAAGATTTTATTAACTTTTATCTTTGTGTTCACATCACAAAAGCTTGCGTTCATGCTGCAAACTGCGCACCGTGCAGAACAGAAAACATCTCCATCACAACTATTTGGTATTTTCACAAAATGTGTTTCAACAAGAACAAAGGGAGAAATTAATAAAATTGCACAAATGAGAGGTACTGTACGCTACATACCTTCTTCAACCCTTTTTTTCGCTTGACATTTTCTGACATATTCCACTTTAGAGCTTGTTAGCTTCCACTGACTGGTCTGAAATGCCATAAAAACGCACAGAAGGAACGGTGGATCAAAGCAAGCTATTATTTTAAAAATGGCACACATTTGAAAACACAACACTGAATTAATTCCACATTGCACTGCACAATCAATTTCAAGCAACTTTACAGTATGGACAAAAAAGCCGGCTGCTCGGTATGAAACTGGTCCCTTTCATTAAGTTCAATCAGTATTCATTCCCTCTGAGTGCTCTTCAATTTAAACATATACGTAGCTCAAACAAACAGCATAAAATTCTTCTTTTAATAGCAAGGTGTACATACTGTGGATTGCGCCAACGTAAGTATGGCACTTTGTCGCAATCTATTTACACGTTCCATTATTTCTCTGTGGCATTTGCTGAGTAGATAAATCATAGGAAAGTGATTTACTCTGCAGTCTGCAGTGAATTACTGCCACCACAGTTATCTGACCCTTTGAAGAACAGCCTCTCGGTCTGCACATCAGGGTTACACATTTCTCCCTCATTATTATATATATTGGCCACTAACCTTCACAGGCTCCACTGTGAGTCCACTGTGATCTTCTTCACAGTTACCAAAGCAACATAAGGCTTTGGTGTGTCTGTCACTGTTAAGACTAATGCCTCTGCAGAAACATTTAGAGGTAATGAGATTTTAAATTAATTACTAAACTGACACAGCAGGTTTTCAGTGAGTGTCTGTGATATCTGTTCTGTTCTTTACTCTGACCTTTTCAAAAGGTTGTGCAATTCAAATTTGGGCTTTCTCTCTAGTAGCATGATTACATGGTTTCTGGTGGTGAGGTACATGAACAAAGAGGAAAGACTTGCTTGTAAAACCTGGGTGCCATTGTATCCTCTCCATTTCCTTGATAAGAAAATTAGAAACTTTGATATACTGTAGTTAGATAAATTAGATTGCTTGACAACGTAACCCAATCACAAAAACAAAGCTAAAGTAAATCTAACCTACTTTTAAAATTGTACACATTATTATTTATTATCATGATTTACACATTAAATATTATTCATTTTAAAAATTAGTTATGCTAATTTACTTGTTACTCAAAGGCAAGTAATTAGAATTTTTTAGATTACTTGTTAATAGGGATGCAGCACCTGCAAGATCACCACCCAGCTTTGCACGGCCAAGTAAAGGTAATACATAATGACTGAGTAAAATAACATGGCAAGTTGGTAGGGAATTAAATATAAACATGTCACTTACAATCGATGCTATAGTGGTGAGAGTTTGGGCTTTCAGTGCAACGTAAACAAAAAAAGCAGGTGTAACTTCAGACCCACCGCACCAACAGCACCGTTATGAAACCCATTATTTTCAGTGACTTGTGCCACACCAAGGCGGTTTGTTGCTATGTTGAGCAACACGCACCATATGTATATCAATAATACATATTATAGAAATATAATTGTCAATGTAATTAAATATTAAAAATCAACTTAAGTCATTACTAGTGTTGTTAAATTAATTAATGCATAATAATTGTGATTGTGAAACCGTGACTATTCCTCAGACTATAATCATCCCAACAAAATGTCTAATCGTTGCATCCCTACTTGTTACTCAGCCTAGTTTATCTGTGCTTTTTAAAAAACAGGTTGAAACATCCACTGGTTACATCTAGAAAACGAAATAAGCAGCAAGCCTACAGTTTGGAGGTATTTACTGACCATCAGCAGCTAGCTTGACGTTAGCCCTAGTGACTGCGTGAAGTCCTGTTAGCAAGACAGCTAATACGACACAATAATAATAATATTAATAATATAAGAAAACTTTGGAGTTACTGGGAGCAAACTGATGGCGATGCAGGTAGACGCTCCCCTGGTGTCCTGGTCATATGGCACTATTTTAGAAATTTACTTTACCGAGATAGACACAGCAGAGTTGGTTGAGTTAGCTAAACACATCGCACGCAATATTTTGGCGGGAGAGAGGAGCATGTCCTTTGAGGATGACATTTTTTTGTGTCAGTACAGAAAGTGACAGCTCAGCAGTCACACCCTTAAAGGTAAAGAGCTGCTGTGGATAAACGAGGTAACGTCAGTGGTGTGGCTTTACTAGGCTACTTAAAGTCCCAAACAGGGCTAGGCCAATGTACAGTAACTTAAAGTCCATACTGTTAACAATGTCAAACATTGGTGTCAACAAGGATAGGAAATACCAGGAACTAAGTTAAACCTAAAGCATCACCATCTGATCTCTTACCAGTAATTAGACCCACCCACATTAACGAGTAACGAGGTTGTCAGAGGAGTACCCCTGCAACAAACTGCAACATTACTATTTTAACTGATGAAGCAACTGACCCAAGATATAACCTCCATGGCTGTAAACATTTTCACACTTGAGAACATGCTGACAGGACTGAAGATTGTTTATTTTAGTATCATTTATTAATTTAAATAGATCTTTCTGCAGCTTACACACTTGTTGGTAATTTTATATCTTGATGAATATAGATTGAAAAGTATTGTGATGAAATGTTTTGACATATCACTTGGCCGGGTGATATACACTCCTGAAACATCTCCACTGTTAAGTGTGACGTATTGTAGTGTTTGGTTTAACACAGTCTGGTTCTTTTTGTTTGAAGCAGTTTGATGACATTAATTGCTCTCATGCACCTTTTTCCTGCAACAGTTTAAGTCAGTGTTTATATAAAGGGGTCTCTGCGTTATATCACAAGGATTTGGTACATAACATCCTGCATTAATAGCTAATGTTTCCGGTTTTTCAGACAAATAAGACATGGGCAGAGGCTTTCCTGCAGAGCTGAGAATGGCCGCTGTATTGATGTATCAATAAACTGTATTTTGCAAGATTGATTAAAGCTCCCTTCACTTATTTTGTACAAAATGCTGAAAGGCCTATATGTCAGCTCATCTCATAGCATACTATTTGGCTTTTGGCAAATGGTCGTGTGAAATAAAAGAAACATTTCCTAGAGAAAACACCTTGGAGAAATTTAATTGGAAGTGTCTGGGTACTTTTAATTAATAAAAATGAATCTTCTCTAATATTCCATGGGTGACTGAATCCATACTCCAGCTGTCAGAATCTCTGCTATCCTTTTTAGGTGGAAAGGTTGTTTTAATCAGGCTTTGACATCACTCCCAATAGGGAAGGCTTCTCGAACGGCATTTTCTTGGCACTTGGCAGGATGCTGGCCGGTAAGTACTGATCTGTAGGCATGTTTAGCTCGTCCATTTCTGTAGTGAAGTGGTCAGGACTTTCCCCGTTAGACATCTCCTTGATGACACTGTAGGTTAGCGCCACACTGTAAGAAGCTGGTTTTTCCATACGCTGAGGGCCGCAGTGACACAACTTCTTAAAAGCTGCGCGGAACTTCTGGGACATGGCGTTGTAGATGATCGGGTTGACGGCGCTGTTTAGGTAGATGCAGAGACGGCAGAAGAGCAGGAACCAGGTGTCCAAGTAGGCCTTGTCCAGGAAGGAGTTGACCACCACTAAGGTCCGGTAGGGCATCCAAAGTAAGGCGAAGAGGATCACCACCACAGCCAGCATCTTCGTCACCTAATAAAATTCAGTCACGTTAAAAAAATGATACAACAAAATGCTATCCCAGAAAACTGTATAATTAAATGTTTTTCATGCACATGGCGTCTATAAATAAGCCACAGCACAAGACACATGAACCTTTGTCACAGCAGACCTTTTGATTTGTCATAGTAGGAAAAGTGTAACTAATAACATTAACGATGGTTTTGTTTTTTCAAGTGGCCTGTTAAGTCATGACAGTGTGACAGGGAGCCAGCATGCACAATACCTGAAGCCTTAAACTAAAGCAGCTAAATTAAATTCTGCTGTCATTCATTTTATTATTTACATCTATGCTTTTCCTACTGTGACATGTCAAAATATCTCCTGTGGAAAAAAAGCTTATTCTTAAAGTTATAATCCATATCACAAAATTAAATTCCATTTTTTAAAACTATTTAGGGTTTGCAATTGTTTTCTACATTTTGTAACTCTATATAGTGGTTGTCATTGTAAGTGTCGGAGTCCGCCCTTTCCATTTAAGATTCAAAGAATCTACACATGCATGGGAGATTCACAGGAAGAGATGCATATATGCAATCCACCATAACTGTTTGCACTTTTATCTCACTGATTTTAACCTCTCTTTTTATCGAACCACTCACTGAATATTTCCTGCAGCTGCTGCTTCATTAAAAGTATTCGGCTGCTGAAAAACAGGAGGTGACTTTTATTGTAAAGCAGTCACAGGAAACATATGCCTATTTGGGAAGGGGGTGGTCCGCATGCATTTGTCACTGAGGTTTAGTGCTGACCAGTGGTAAGCAAGATGGGTTTTCTGAACAGATGATCAGTTTTGTTTGGCTGTGCTGTATTTCAACTACCAACAACATGACCAAATGACATGCTGTATCTAGTGTGTGAACACAGCTGCAGCTCCACCTGAACACTTGGCTTGAGTCAACTTGAGTGTGTTTAATGAGATTATCATGGTAGAGACACAGTCCTGCACAAATATTGGTGTGGATGAAATTTTGGAAGGGTTAAATACCAGAATAACTTTTTATTGTGGTCCTCACAAAAAAATATTTTAATGATAAAATCAATACTGTCTGCAAATTACTGAACTACTATGAAAACAGTAGTAGCTCACAACTATGGAAACTAACTTAACTTACCCAAACCTTAACCATAGAGGTGTCAGCTGGCTGTTTTGGTCAGTGCTTTAAGACAACTATATCATCATTCATCAAGTACGAGGACTTGTTTGAGACAGTCTTTTACAAAGCCAAATTACAACTGTGGACAGTTTTGGCAAGTGTACTCATGTAATAGACTGTAAATTCTTTGAGAATCCCCTCAGTGGGCAGAAATTCTACTGCAGATAATTCATTATCACTCCACTTCAAATATGAACATATTTTGAACAAAGTGTATATGGAAGAATGCCATGGCTGACATTCAGTTTGTTTTGAGAGCTCCCAAAGCATCTGTCTCAAGAGAAAGGTTTTGGACAGACACACATGGCACAGAAATCATTCACATCATGCTATTGCATGATCTATAAAACTCTGAACTAAGGGTCTACTGCATTTTAATGTACACATTCACTGTTTAGCTGCTCTTACTTTATTTCTGGTTTTGTTGTCGGACAACATAATGAGCATAAACTTAGATTTGATTGTGGCTCATACTGTACATGCTAAGTAAAGCAGGTAAACCTGTTCTGTTGTGCTAAGGTTATTGGTTAAATGATGCTGTTCTTCTGTACCTTCAGTAAGACAACTTTTCTTTGATTATGAAACAGGAAAATGGTTATCAGTGTGCATTTATGAACATATTGACTACTGCCACTCTAGGATGATCTCTAGCAGGTGACATTATGCATGATATGGTAATGACATGGTCTTCCCCCTAATTGCTAAGGCATAGTAAAAACGGAAAAAGTCCATTACATTAACGAGTACCCATAAAAACGCTTCCTCCCTGGATTACTCTGAGCCTTGCATTAAGTGTTTGCTATCATCCACTGAGTTATACGTCAGTTAACAGTTAAGCTCAGCAGTTTGAACAAATCTTTCTAAACCCTAAACCAGAGGTTTTCTTACATATTCTCCAGATTGGATTAATCTCTTAACAATGTTGTATGCCTGCTTAGACAGGGTCCAGGAGCTGTGTAGCAGCTTTCTGTTATCTCTAACCCTCTCTGTGATCACAAAGTGCAGGTTTTGGTTGTTATTTTTGCTGTTTTTGTCAGACGACCTCATGATCATAAAAGCAGCAGTGAGGTTTCATAAATAAGTGATGAAAACTGACAGTGAAAATTATTTTATGTTCAGCTTTTAGGGAGTCACTTCCCAGAGTTCCTGGCAGGATATGACCGCACCACACAGAATCCCTCAAAAATGTTTCCCTTACTGTAAGAACCAAACTCCGGAAATCTGATAAACGCAAAGACAAACCATGACTCGCAAACTGAAAATAAGACACACAAGCCAACCGACAGGCCATACAGTCACGCTGAAACTGTGATTTTAGATGCAAATCTCAACAAAGTCTGGATTTGTAACATAATTACCAGATGATAATCCTGATGTGAAACTTGTATGTAATCAAATCTTATCCATATTCATGTTGTGTCGTCTCAGCTGCTGTCAGGTGAGTCTAACTGGATTGGATAGGAACCCTGCCAGTGGCACGGTTGAGCGAAATACCTAATCCCAGATACTCATTACTGCTTGACCTTTAGGGAAGTCAGTATTGTACATGGTGGATGGTATGAATTGCTTCTTCTGTCCACAATGAGCAATTAATGCTAACCAGAAACATGTGTGTTTATGGGTTAGTCAAAGATAAAACTAAAGCCGTTTGAGTTGAGTTTAACTGATTAGACTATCCAATGGAGCATAGAGCTCCCTCAGGGTACCACACCCCCTGTCATTCCAGGCAGGCGTCTGATCTGATAAACAAACAGTTAGCCTAGCTAGGTACCTGTGTGTCTGGCACTGTGTCTGTGCCTTTCTGTTTTCTGTTTTTTGTTTTGTTTTTAACAAAGTAAGAACTCTTAGCAGAGTGTTATAAGCTTTTTACAGAAGGAAGATGATGTCAGAGGAGGATGAAGTATATCCTTGGTCTGAGTGTGGTGTACTGCAGGTGTGATAAGCCAGAGTGCTTTATTATAAAACATGTATTTTTCTCAAGCATGCACATGAACACCCATGAAACTGAGCAAGGTAGTTCAAAAGGTGGCTGCACCATGAGCTCTCACAAAGAAAGTATCCATCAATACAAACCCTTATCACTCTGTTTACTGTGAGCCGCTGGTTGGGTTTATATGAATAATATAAAAAAGTGGATCAGCTCTGTTCCACTGAACAAAAAGTGCCAACTGAGTTCTAGATGTGCACTTCACAAGACTCAATATGAAAGTAAATGAGTGCTGACAGATCATATCACAATATATCGCAGCAAAAGCCATTAAATTTTATTTCGCCCACCCCTGCTGGCAGCCCTTTATATCGCTGTATATCAAAAAGTGAGCAGGTAGGGGAGCTTGGAGTCAGTTGTAACATTTCAAACAAAAATGTAGCAAACAAATGCATGATGTCTCATGTGCCTACAGCACAGACTGTATAAAAGAAGTGGACGTAGTCATTGTGACGTCACCCGTTAGTTTGTGGACTGCCATTTTGAAGCCTCGAGTTTGGCCGATAGGGCGCCGCCATGTTGATTTTTTGTGACCAGCGGCATTGTATGTGACCATATTTGGACGAGGCGGTGGAGTTAAGGGCCGTGTGTGGAGCTAGCTATCTTGCTTAGCTAGGTGCATCTGTAATTCACGTTAACTGTCATTTTAACCAGGATGATAATTTTGTCTAGTGAACAACAGGCTTAAAACTAAATGTACTCACCAGAGAAAGTGAACAGCCAACTCCTTTTTCAACAGCGGTGGTTAAATTTAAACAGTGCCGTTGGTATGAGTCACTCTAGCCTGATAGGTCACCATGGTAACGACTTGACAATCACAGATAGTCCCGCCCTGAATCATACTCTGTTTTATGGTCTATTTTACTCTAAATGGGACCATAATTTACTGAATGAAAATGTTGTATTGAAGAATACATGAACCTAGCAATTGAGACCATGAACTCATTAGGAAAGTGTTTACTGAGGTAATAAATCTTCTGAGAAGTAGTCTCATTTTACCATTATTTCTAATAGAACCGGACTTCTTTTTGCAACCAGAGTAGTCGCCTCCTTCTGGCTGTTCGATGGAATGCAGGTTTAAGGGACTTCCGTGTTCGCCTCAGTTCCCTGACAGGAAGCTTCCTGCTTGGCCTACAGTTAACCCTAATGTGTTTGGGATCCTGGAGATTCCAGAGTCTCTTTAACTGCTCAGAAAACATACTTAACATTGTTTAATCCCCATACTTCATGAATTTTCCTCATTTAATGAGAATTGCTAATAAACATGATTCTGAACTGATGTACTGATGATGATGATGCGTTGCTTCTGTTTGGGGTGTTTGGTTCAGAGCCTCCAGTTTAATACATCAAATTTTCATATGCTGTACGTGGTCTGTGAGGGTGTTGACTGTCCAATTTATGCAGCACTACCCTTTCAAATCCCAAATAAATCTATTAAGATTTATGTTATGGTAGCTTTTAGTGATATTCACCAAGGTTATTATGCATGATCTGAAGTATACACAAAAAATCCTGATAGTATATTATGCTGACTACATGTCAGGCCTTGTGTGACAATCGCTTTGTGTTATGAAAAGTGCTATTAAAATGATTATTATTTAACTTTTTAAGGAGGGGGAAATCAGAACCATTTCTAACAATATCCAAAGGAAGGCTATCATTTGCAATGGAAATGTATAGTGCGAAGACAAAATGTTGTCTATGCTGCATTCAATTCAATGTACATTTTGAGTCAGGTAGATGTAACTGGGGTGACCAATATGTTAAACTGATTACAGTGACCTTGATTTAACAGACTGCATAGCTATTTGAATGAGCAACTTCCTTACAAAATGTTACAGCATGTCTGATTGTTTAATGATTGTTATATGATATGTATGACCTCAATTCAGTGCAATGAATAACACTAAGTTTGATAACACTTACAGAAGAATAAAAGCATTTATTTTCATATGAGCCACCTGTTAGCCTACTTTGAAAAATGTCTTAGCTAAAACAACACTGCTAAAATGATAAATTAAACAATCCACATATTTTATTCACGTAGGTGAAACCGAAGGTCCCCGTTAAGATAGCAGTCCGGAGTTAAATGCACACAAAGGCTGCCATTAAAAATAAACGTTATCCACTCAGCTCCTCTGCCCTCTGAGGATGGGAGACAATGCAGCAATTTGAGCTGGTTCTTTGACATGGTGTCAATTAGTTTGGAGCCAAGTAAATGTTCACTAAGTTAGGCCTAGCCGTCTACATTAGGCTGGACAGTACGAAGTTGTAAAAAAAGCGGTGTTTTGACTTCCTGTCAGATAAGAAGTATAGTCAATTAATCCATATATTTGACTATTATTTTTATTCATAATCAATGTTATTTCTGACACACTATAGCCTATCACTTAAAATAAAATAGTCTACATCAGAGTGCCCATCAGAGCTGTTTTCTCATAATGAAAGTAACTCCAGCAATTGTCCATCCAATGAGAATTTGGTGCATATCGACCAACCAATTGAGCAACTGACCAGAAGATGTCAGCCCTAGTAGCTTTATAACAGTTTCTTCTATCATGTACTTAAACCTCTCTGGGTTCTAACTGATCACATTCCTTGATCTGTAGCCTAAATTACTTTTCAACAAACAAAAGGAACATATTTGTTCATTCTTAAATTCATAAAACATGAGATATTTCCTTAAATAGTGTTACAACAATGCTCTTTTCAGTGTTTTGGCACTGACATCAAATGTGCCAACGCAGTTTGTGGCAAAGGGAAGTGTTTACACTTTATTATCTGTCTACATATTGGGTTTAATAAATTCAGAAGAAAATGCATAAAACATTTATTTAAAGGAGAGAAAAAAGGCTGACTTTGCAGTTAATATTATTTTTACACACATAGCAGTGGGGTCTGTAGGGCCTCAAACAGTGAGGAAGTAGCCTAAAACCCTCATCCAAACACAAAGGTTTCCTGCTAGTAAATGCCTTATGAAATCTGATTTTTATTGAAAAATACAAATTGCGGGTCAGTTTTAAGGACAGAGGGTCTTTCTTGAATCATTATTTTTCTGTTACTAGATCACATTTTGTGGTCAAATAATGCTTCTTTTGTATTTTACATTATTATTCCTTTTACAATACATGGTGTACAAGTGGTCCTCAACTGTAACTGAGCATGAAGGGGATGTATGCCTCCCATTGGTAGACATTTATCAGACCTGCTGGTGCAGCTGGACCCCTTCCCCCACTCACACACAAATGCAAACACCATCATTACACAGTGATAATGTGAATGAGCAAACACTTTCCCACCTGTCTGCGGGAGGAAGCCGTGGTGCTCCTGGAGGAGCTGCTGATTACCCTCCCTCGCTGACCCGTCTCCTTCTTCCACTTCTTGGTGCTGTCCTTGGTATCTGAAGGCAGCGGGTTTAGGAAAAGTATCCGGGCGATCAGTCCGTACATAACCGTGGCCAGCATGAGAGGCAGCACGTAAAACACCGCGAAATCTGTAAAGTAAATGGGCAGGTAGTGGCTCCTGGACACTTTGTAGGCGCAGCTGAGTAGCACCACGTTATCATAAGCCAACTTTGTAGTGTCTGACAGAAAGAGCCACATGACGCAGTAGACAGAGGTGAGCGCCCAAACCAGCATTATGATCTTTTTTGCCCTGGATAAAGTGCACAGGAATTGCGCTTTGATGGGGTGGCAGATGGCGATGTAGCGCTCCACGGTGAATGCTGTAATGGAGCAAGAGGACGCGTTTATTCCCAGATACTGGAAATAAGTGATCCCCAAGCAGCCCACGTAGCCGAACACCCATTGTCCGCACAGAGCGTCGGTGATGTTGGGCAGCCCGGCAGCCGTCAGGACCATCAGGTCAGCCGCGGCCAGACTCACCAGGTAACAGTTAGTGGGAGTCCGCATGTGTTTGGTGGTCAGGACCACCATTATGATCATCACATTGCCCACGATCCCCACCCCGCATATGAGGGACACCAAAAACACGCTGACCACTTTGTATTCAACTGTGTAGTCAGTCCAAACACCCAGGGTCTGATTGTCCTGCACCGACGTGTCATTCTCCACAGTCATGTTATCCATGGTGAGGTTCTCCATAACAGGAGGAGGCTCTAGTTCTGTGCGCGTTTAAGAAAATTACACCAGGCATTCAAAGAAATCAAAAAAAAAAAAAAATTCACTGCAGTAAACTGCGACCATAAATTCTCCAAAAACTTCATTTCATCCACATATAATCCAGTCAAACTGCATTTTCTTCTCCACAAAATCCAGTTCCTGTTATTGCAAAGCCATCAAATGGAACTCCAGTACGTTTTTCATGCAACCATAATACAAAGTCCATTGAGCCTGGGTTGTTGGTTGAAGTTTCAAAAGAGAGGAGAGGAGGTGTTGCAGCCAGCTCCGTGTCCTGCTTCTGTCTCACTGCTCACAGTCATGACTGATAGCTTCCTGAAAAGCCTCTCTGCTCCTGAGAGCCTCACACACTGCTCACAACCACAAACTTTTCTTTTCTTATGTCAGGGACTCCCATGCAGATATTTACATCATACCCACACCCATGTGGTGAATCACATTTGGTTTTAAGGAATCTAAGTTGGGTTTTGATGCTTATATTAACATATAACATGTATAAGCAGTAGGTCTATATAACAATACCTATTTTCCATATAACATAGCCTATTTATATTTAGCCTATACATGTTTATGAATGCATGCATACTGTCAACAAACATGAACAAATCTTGTATAATACATTTCTTCAAAAAATGTAAAAATCCATTTATACATATTCAATCCAAAACCCGTATAATAACATTTTTTTGTCATTATTATCATTCATTAGTGATACGCCAGTTATTAAAAGTGTATCTGTTTACAACTACATTGTAGAGGGTTATAGTGTGTAATAAACTATTATTAACTAAATTATTAATTAATTTATTTACTAACTTATAAATGCTAATTATAGGTGGGGACTTAAAATAGTGTTACAACTGTTAATAAAGAAGGTTACTGAGATGAGGGAAACACCTAAATATTCCACTGAAAAGAGAAAAAGGTAGCAGTGAAGACAACAATCCATTATTTACATTTCTACTGATATTATAGAAATGTTACAGGAGATTAAAAAAAAAAACACAATTATTATTATTCCCTTAAAGGTTGAGTTTTGGTGTTTTAGTTTTGTTATTTCTTGTTTTATGTGGAAAGAGTCCTTCCTCATTCTTAGCTTTACTTCCGGTCTTTGCGTGTTTTCCCACCTGTGATTGTCTGCCCTGCCCGGATTAGTTTCACAACTAGTTCGCTAGTGCATTAAGTCACCGAGTTCCTTTGTCTCAGTGCCAGTGTGCTTTGTCCTATGTGTAGCGTCCCAGCTCATTCCTAGTGCTTTCTCCAAATTTGGCCTTTGCCTGCCTCACCATCCTATTCCTCTCGGTACCGGTAACCCATAACAGTACAAACTGCTCAATCATGGACCCAGCAGACTCCTTCTCTGATGAATCCAGCCCGCAAGCATTCAGTCTGCACCTCGGCCTGCTAGCATCCTGTTAGCAACCAGACATCTCTTCAACCTGTATCACAGCCTCCACCAGTTGTTTAGGCCCCTTCCTGATTCCACCTCTGATGATTCCCAGGATTCTCCTTTCTGGAGGAACCGGCAAGGCCTCAAGACGGCACCCTTCAAGAAAGCAGGGCCACTAGTCAGTTTCCTGCCTGTCTTTCTGCCTTGGATTCACCTTCTGGGAAGGCCTTTCAGAAGGAAGTATTAGAGTCTCCACTCCCAGCACCTTTCCCCTTTCGACGCCCAACAACACAGAGCTGCCACCAGTCCTGTCTGGTTCCTAGTCGACGATCTGGCCAGCAGCTGCTCCTGCTGAGCTGTGGCAGTCTTCTGTTCCTGAACTGCAGGGGTCTTCTGTTAGGCAGCAGTCATCTGTTCCTGTGGTCCAACAGTCCTCAGTCCCTGTTCTGCAGCAGACTCCTGGTCCTGCTGAGCTGCAGAAATCACCAGTTCCTTTTTTGCTGCGTCACCAGCATCTAGGCTCTTGTCACGATCTACTCCGCCCTTCAGCCCTGCCTCCTTGTGGCCCTCCAGACCAGCTCCATCCTTCGGCCCTGCCTCCACATATCATGCTTGCCCCCAGGGCGTCCGCCTAAGATCTCCTGTTCCACCCGTCCAGTCTTTCTGTCCTCTGCTCACAGGCCTCTTTGAATTGGTTTCTTTGGATTTGACCCTTGCCTGCCTTGTGGGAATACAGCCTCACCACCCCATAAGCCTTCTGTATATTGACTTTTGATAATAAATCATTGTTCTGCTCCAGCTCAGCCTCAGCAGTCAACATTTGGCTCCTTCTGTTTCCTCTTGTTACTGGTTAGCCTGCTTGCATAAACCGTGACATTATCTTCTGGTTTTATATCTCCTGACGTGGAAAATGTTATTCCACACTGTGTCCTGTATCAGCGTGTTCCAGCTCTTCATGAAGCTACTGTACATGATATTCACACTGAGGGAAATATTAAAATCCAATAACCATCAAATAGTTAGGAGATATTGCAGATGTCTGCATCATCTTATACACATTGTGCCAAAAGTCAGCCTGACATATTTGGTATCTTTGGAAACTATAATTTGAAATAAAGTTCAGGAGATCTGACTAATGTGTAATGATGTGACATTGTCAGAACAGGAGATAAATACATGTATGACTTGCTACATTAGAAAATACATATTAGAAGGATACAAATGTAGAGATGTAGAGGCATAAAAGTAGAGAAAAAAAGGCATTCATATAGAAAACAAGACTATGGAAATATTTGTGATATCACATGATATATATAAAGCATTTCATATAGAGTTAATGTAAACTAAAGTGTCGGAATGTAACTAAGTACATTTACAAGAGTACTCTACAAGCATATATTTGAAGTGCTTAAACTTTACTTCAGTTCCATTTTATGCTACATTACACATCTACTCTCTCCTTTTTCCAGGAATAGTGATCAGTATTATAAATATAGTCAAACAAAGGCTACTAGTTACTTTGTAGAATAAGATTTTACACACAATATATATGCTCTGTATTTAAAATATAATACATTGTTAAAACTAGCCAATAAAGTAGTTAAAATCAACTTCACCTCCACCAGCTACAACATTATGAAGTGCTGACATGAATGCAACGATAAAATAAATAAAAAGATATATAATAATAAATCAGTCATCAGTTTCATTTAGCTTCATTTTTACTTTGAGTACATTTAGCAAATAAATGTGTACTTGTAATTAAGATTTTGAATATAGTAGAGCATTTACATTGTTATATTGCTACTTTTACTTAAATGATCTGAATACACTCACATATAGTATATGTACACACTACACGTACCTACAGGAATATTACTGTATTTTTACAGTGAGAAATAAAAATACCATAAAGAGTGCATTGTCACTCAATCACTGAGTACCACCGGAAGTTGGGGCTAAAAGAAGAGATAACAAAACCACCCTGTAAGCTTTTGTATATTAACATTGGGGTTCCTCTTGTTTCTGGTTACCCTGTTTGCATAAACCGTGACATTAACTTCTGGTTTTATTTCTACTGATGTGGAAAATATTATTCCACGCTGTCTCACAGTATGTATCCTGTATCCATGTGTTCCAGCATGTGATGTTTACACAGAGTGAAATATTAGATTTAAAAATGCCATAAAGAGTGCTAAGGGCATTGTCACTTAATCACTGAGTACCAGAGGAAGTTGGAGCTAAAAGAAGAGATCAAAAACAAACCCATAAATGACAATAGGATCATTCTAAACTTCTTATTGAGTCATATACTCATTGCAGTCCTATAACAGACATGCTGTGAACCTATTATGGGACTATTTCAGTCATGAAAGGAGAAATCTCATTAAGAAGGAGAAGGTCAATTTAATATCACTTTCTAGTGCAATATTCTGATGATGTGTCATTTCATGTGGTGGCTCCAAAATGCTCACAGCATGACTTGGAACTAAGGTAGACATGACTTTTTCTGCGCTAATGAAGCACTAGTTCATCACTATTTAAATTGGCTACATTGCAAGTGAACCGGTGTTCAGTGTACCAGGGAAATTGAATACGTCTTTTTACCTGTCTCATTGCCTCAATGTCTCTCTCTCTCTCTCTCTTCCTGTTGTCCACAGGCATCCAGATTGAGTAAGTGAAGGTTCTCTCTGCTCAATTAGATTACAGCATCACTATGCACAACACCCATTGGTGGTGTTGCAGCAAGTCTCCCCCTAAGGGTAAACACCTGTAACATTAGAGACAGGAGTCTGAGGGAAACGTGCAACTGATGGAGCTGCTTCTCAGTGGAGAGAAAGTCCTCTACTGTCTGGACTCATCTCCATCTGCAGGATATCCACTGTGGAACAAAAAACTGAGATGTGTATGACCCCTGTGGTGATTTAGGTCCCGTAGACAAACACATAAACAAACTGGCTGAGTTTTCAGGCAGTTGCTCAACACTAGTTCAGATTAGTGTGATTGTTATTCCCGGGGAAGCTGCATGGGCTTAAGTAAAAAAGGGAAATGAAAATTACTCAGATCTCAGCACATAGGCGATGCAACTGTTTATATTACTGTGTATAACCTTCCCAGGAGGCTGGTTTAGCAATGAGAGCTCAGCAGGCTGCAGGAAAACTGCAGTCTTTAGGCTACTTTTTGGAACTGTGGACAGATGATACACAGACTGTGGATAAAAAATATAATTACTTGACTGTTAATGGCAGTGTTAGAGGTCAGCAGTGGTTTATTGTGGTTTTAAGTGCTCCTGAGCCTCATAATCTTCAGTAGGTTAATTTTCTTTGGTTAACTCCAAGTTCCTCCCAAGGATTTTATGTCAAACGTACACATAACTCTCCATGTGGTATTAATTAATTGTCACCTCTGTATAGAAAACTAAATGAAGTGTTCATTTCAGGTGGGACACCATGACAGATCATCGCTCCTCACAGCTGGGAGCTCAGGAGGTAATTCACACAATTTACAGGTGGGTGAGAAATTTTGATTTTGGGAGCATAATTTTAAGTGAAAATTGATTCTTGTATTGTGAATGGTGCTGCTTGCTATAATTCATTACTGATGCAATAATATTCCACGGAGCCTTACATAGTGCATGTGTTTGTTACATGTGTTTCTGCAAAACCATTGATTTATAGACTGACAAACAACCTGTTCATCCCACTGAAAAACCTCACTGCCAGTGGATGTTGATGTATTCAAATCTTTACTTAAGTGGCTATAATTTATATTTACACATATGACAATGTGAAAGGGGTAATTCATAGTGATGAACCTACAGAGAATTATCACTCAAATCTAAGCTTTAACTCATTGTTAAGCTGTCTGTCCCACAACTTTACTGTCTTCAGCTAAAGCAGGCAGCTGTTTCCAGCAAAAAAATCTCACTGTACACTGCTCATCACCAAACAG